CATCTCGGTGCCGCTGAACGTTGCACCTGGCTGCGAAGAGGCGGATGCCACGAAGTCTCGGAGCGCACGGTTTGGGGTTTGGGGTTTAGGGTTTAGGGTTTAGGGATTAGGGTTTAGGGATTAGGGTTTAGGGTTTCTCACATCCTTTATAATTAGAAGCCTAAACATCTAGTGGTGCAGGGTTAGAAGCGGGATCACTTTTGGCCCTGAAGCTTGGAGCCTTGAAACCCAGAATTTTCCCGGGCGCAGGTTGCGAAGGTGGCGTCCTACTCTGTCGACGACCTGAAGAAGGTGGCCCGAAGGTTGAGTCTTACTGTTACACAGTGTTTGGGATTCGTGGGGCTTTGGATACGAGGTACTGTAGGGCCGGAATACTCAGAGGTGGTATCTCATAGTGTCCTCATATAGTCCGTACAGGTTTTGGACGATGATCTACGCCAAAACCCTGTTCTAACAAGTAAAGGCCTCGATGCTAAGCCCTTGTAGCCCTTCTAGTAAGCCCTACTACCTGTTTGTGAAACACGAACCCCCAAAACGAACCCGAATTCCGTGCAGGATGTGAGGCTGTCTTCGAGAGGTATAGGCTTTAAGGTGTTCAGGGCTCAGGCGTTTATACAGGCTTTAGGTGTTTCAAGGTCTAAGGATTTGAGGGCTTACGGCTTAAACCCTAAACCCNNTAGACCCTAAACCCAACTCAAAACCCTATATGGGCGTAGGGTCTGAAGTCTACGGCTTGTTTGAGAAGTGCCTGCAGTAGACCGCCTGTTCGGAGTTCGGGGATGGTCCGTATGCAAAAAATGAGTGGAGCGAAAAAGATAAAGGGTGTGAATATAATATAACATAATGTAATAATATATACTATTATATATATATATATCAATAATATACTACAGTATAATGCCACATAGTATGAGTTGCGGGCAACAGCTTGAAATTGGCTTTTAGGGTCCCCTGTCTCTTAGGGTTGTGAATTAGAACCCTGAGAGTAGACCTGCAGGGCACTTTGGGAGACTTTGTGTACATCTACACTACCTATGCATTAAAGGTTGCTTGCTGGTTCAGGGATCTTGAAGTACACAGCCCTGAACCCAACGCACCAGGAAGTTTCGGAAAGGATCCCAGTACATAGACGGAACCTCACCACGAACCCCAAAAGTCAACGTAAAGCCCCCCCCCCCCCCCCC